ACTCCGGTGTTTAAGAGTGATCAACTGATCACAGTTCTGGTGAAGATTCAAGGTCAAGAGGACGAGTTCCTCTGCTCTTTTGTATATGGTTCGAATTTCTTGGAGGATAGAAAAATGCTATGGGATGACTTACGATCTCATTATTATTCCCCGATATATAAGCACATGCGGTGGATGGTGCTTGGGGATTTTAATGAAACTTTTTCTCGAGAGGAGCACTCTATCGTGGATGTTGTCGACACTAGTGGTATGTTGGAGTTTCGCACGGTTGCTAGAGATGTTTCGCTCTCGGATATGGGATCACATGGGCCTTTGTTCACTTGGAGCAATAAGCGGTCGGAGGGGCTTATCTGAAAGAAGTTGGACAGAGTCCTCATAAATGATATTTGGTTAAATAGCTGGCCGAATTCATATTGTGTTTTTGAAGCAGGTGGATGCTCAGATCATCTGCGTTGCAGGTTTTATATTGATGGGGATTGCTCGCGTCCGAAGAGGCCATTCAAGTTCTCTAATGTCATAGCTTCAATGCCTCGGTTTCAATCAGAGCTCAAGGAGTACTGGGATGACACAATTCCTTTGTTTCACTCTACTTCGGCCTTGTTCCGATTCTCAAAGAAACTTAAGAACTTAAAGCCGGTGGTCAGGAAAATTTCGAGAGAAACTCTAAGCAACATTTCGCAAAGGGTGAAAACCAATTTTGAGGACCTTTGTTCAAAACAGGAAAGCAACCTGCAGAACCCGTCTCTGCAGCTGCAACAAGAGGAGAATAATGCTTTTGAGCGCTGGGAAAAATCAGCTCACATTGAAGAGAGGTATCTTTGTCAGAAGGCGAAGATAGCATGGCTAAATGTAGGGGACAAAAACACAAAGATTTATCATAAAGCTGTTAAGATAAGAGAGGCGAGGAATGGTATAAGAGAACTTGAGACAAGGAATGGGTTGTTGTTAACGAGCAAAGTTGAAATTAAGGAGGAAGCTGCTTCGCATTTTGCGAATTTTTTGAATGAGACACCTGAGGATCTTCGGGTAACTACAGTCGAAGAACTTGAGGAGCTAATGGGGTACAGATGTTCAATGGAAGATAAACAGTTGCTTCTGCGAGAGGTAACGGAGTTAGAGATAAAGGATGTCTTATTTGCCATGGCTACTAATAAATCGCCAGGACCAGATGGGTACACCGTTGAGTTCTTCAAAGAGAGCTGGCATACAATCCGGAATGATCTTGTGGTTAGTGTTCAGTCGTTTTTTCTGAAGGGTTTTTTGCCTAAAGGAGTAAATTCAACGATTCTTGCCCTCATCCCAAAGAAAGAGGGAGCCAAGCAGATGAAAGATTATAGGCCAATTGCTTGTTGCAATGTGACCTATAAGTTGATATCTAAGATTGTGGCTAATCGTCTTAAGATTATTCTTCCTAAGTTTGTCTCTCCAAACCAGTCGGCTTTCATCAAAGATCGCCTCCTTGTAGAAAACATGCAGCTCGCGTCTGAACTAGTATCTGGTTATCACAAAGAATCAATTTCATCTCGATGTGCTCTTAAGATTGACATATCCAAAGCTTTTGATACTGTCCAATGGGATTTCTTACTGAAGATTTTGGAAGCAATCAATCTGTCGGAAAGCTTTATTCATTGGATTCGTCTTTGCATAACTTCGGCTTCTTTCTCTGTTCAGGTGAATGGTGAGTTAGCTGGATACTTTGGAAGCTCTAGAGGATTAAGGCAAGGTTGTTCTCTTTTGCCTTACCTTTTTGTTATATGTATGGATGTTTTGTCTCGGTTGCTTGATCGGGCAGCGAATCTGAGGCGATTTGGTTATCACCCGAAATGCTCAAATCTGCGATTAACTCACTTGTGCTTTGCGGACGACTTAATGGTTTTTGCTGATGGAACATTGAGGTCGATTGAGGGTATTGTTGCTGTATTCGACGAGTTTGCGAAAATGTCGGGTCTTCGTATCAGCCTCGAAAAGTCCACTGCATATTTGGCTGGTGTATCTGATGAGGATAGGGGTCTGATTTCACAGCGCTTTGCATTTGGCTTCGGTGAGCTTCCTGTTCGATATCTGGGGCTTCCTCTGCTTACTAAGAAAATGAGATCTTTGGATTACGCGCCTCTTATTGACAGAATCAATCGGTGGATGAGCTCTTGGACAGCTCGGGCTCTTTCTTTTGGAGGGAGATTGCAGCTTCTTTCTTCTGTCATCGCGAGTCTCACCAATTTCTGGTTGGCCGCTTTTCGCTTGCCTCTTGGTTGTATCGAGAAGATTGAGAGTCTCTGTTCTGCTTTCCTCTGGTCTGGACCTGATCTAAACCCTAGGAAAGCAAAAATACCATGGCTGAATGTCTGCAAACCTAAGGATGAGGGAGGATTAGGTCTCAAAAGTTTGCGGGAAGTGAATGAGGTTTGTATGTTGAAGCTGCTGTGGAGAGTACTTACTGCGAATGATTCTCTTTGGGTTCGCTGGGCTCGATTGAATCTCATGAGGAAATCGTCGATTTGGTTAACCCCGAGTTCTGCATCCTCCTGCCTTGGCTCTTGGATGTGGAAGCAGATTCTGCATTGTAGGGAACAAGCTGCTCCTTTTCTCAAAGTTGAGATCGGAAATGGCTCTAATGCCATGTTCTGGTACGACAACTGGTCTAATTTGGGTTATCTGTTACCACAAATTGGTTCGCGTGGCATTATAGACCTGGGAATCAGTGAGGACGCTACGATGGAGGAGGTTTTTGCTACACATCGTAGAAGGAGGCACCGGGTGGAAATCTTGAACAAGGTCGAAGAGGAGATTGATTTAGCAAAGCAAAGACGCCGGCCAAATGCTGCGGATCAATACCACTGGAGATCAAAGAATGGAACGTACACAAAGAATTTCAGAACCAGCACTACCCGCGATCAGTTGCGACGATCATCGCAGAGAGTCCCCTGGTCCAAAGGTATCTGGTTCACCCATCATTGTCCTAAGTATAGCTTCATGGCCTGGCTCGCTATTCATAATCGTCTCACCACTGGCGATCGAATGCAAGTCTGGAGTCCAAATATTCCCGTTGCTTGTGTTCTCTGTAACCAGGAGCCTATAGACACTCGCAATCACCTGTTCTTTGTGTGTTCATACTCCTCGGAAGTTTGGAAAAATGTGGCAGAGGGAGTGTTGCTACAAGACTTTGCCACAGACTGGGATTCTGTTGTTGAGCTAATCTCGCACAGCAGCCGGGATCGACTGCAGAGTTTCTTTGTTCGCTACTTATTTCAGATGACAATCCATGTGTTGTGGAGGGAGAGGAATGACAGAAGACATGGAGCTAATGCTTCACCGCCGATGAAGCTCATTAAGTTCATCGACAAAGGGCTGCGAAATCGTCTTAGTGCTATTCGCATCCTTGGTGACACCCGATACGAGGAGGGCCTTCAGACCTGGTTTGCCTCCAGACTGGCGGCTTGAAGATCGAAGTCTGTAATTATCTAGTTGGAATAGCTCTAGTTCATGCTTATGGATTTAAGCTCTAATCTGCTCGCATTTCATATGTAGAAAACGCTGTTTTTTTTTGTTTGAATAAAATTTAACATTCATTCAAAAAAAAGAAATTGCGGAAGAATTTGGTTTAGATAATGAAGGACGCTACAGCAATGAGGAATGCGACAACGCTGACGATTGCCACCAGAATGTTAATGCTATCAAGCATTGTGCACGCATTGTGTCATCAACTGTAAGTTCTTTTATATATATATATATATATTATAAACACATTATATGTAAGTTGTTCTTATATAAGCAAGCATAAGGAGGTACACTGTTTTGTTTGTTATTTCTTTGCAGGAGCCGTATAAGCTGAAGAAATATGGAGGTAGGGGTTTCGAACCCATGATTTGTTATCTCATGGATTTAACAATTGCTGCAGATGTAACTGCACGTTCCAATAAACTAGACATTGAGAGGTAATCTCGATTAATTTTGCTTAGAACAATTCAGAATTTGTTATTTTGGTCTTTGATGAAGATTAAAAGATAGGATTCGAATTTGATTTACAAGTTGCTTTATGCAGCAAGAAAGAAGTGGTGACTCCTGTAGATTGAGATTGAGGTTAGCTTCTTCTTTTTTTTTTTTTTTTTTTTTTTGTCTGTTGCCATTACAAGCTTTCAGTATTGTTCTTGTCACCATTGTCCAATAAGTTCTCAAGTTTGTCACCATTATTGTAATTAATGAGCAGCTGGAAAAAAATGTTGTGGAGACAGTTCTAAGGGATGCGATGCAGTTGCTATAATTAGGGAGTTAGAAGAGTTATACTTGTTCGGTTGACATTTATACTTCGACAGTCATCAAAATGTTGTAATTGAAAATCTTCTACAATTATGGTTTGACTTTTGCTATAAATGATTTTATTGAGTATTATTTTGTTATGTTCATTTTGTCGTTTACATTTTTTTTTTTTTTAAGTTTAAAAATGTACCTCACGTCAGTTTGAAAATGATAGGAACTTATATGGAAGTCATTATTTAACTGTCGTTAATATAAAAGAAACCGACGGTAGTTTTTTGACGTTAATTTTGTAAGTGGAATGGTTTTACTGGTCTCTAAGTCTCTAACAAATGTGTAGAAGTGGCTTTGACGATTTGAAATTGTGATTTAGGCGATTCATATCATTTGATTCATTGAATTCATGAAAACTGATTTCGCTGAATGTAATGCTTATGTAAGTATATAATTGAAACAATGCTAATTAATCGACGAGAATTACCTTATAAAAAAATAGAGAGAATATCAACGTCTTTTTTATAAAAAACAGTTTGGAGATGGATGAGTCTCATTTCAAAAACTTACTGAAAATAGATAGACTTTGTCAGCATGAGAAACATAAACCTATACTTCAAAAAAAAAAACAAAAAAACAAAAAAAAAAACAAAATGTCACATTTGTAAACATATTAAGAAAAATGGTTAAGGACCTATATACTCTCTCACATACAAAAACTTCTAAAGATGAAAAACAAAAGAGAGAGAGAGGTTTCAGTTATGACGTGGTGGCCGAGTGGATGGCTTCGGATAATCTGCAAAGAACAGTGGTGGCCGATGGTGGCGGTTCTTCACTGCACCCGGAACAAACCGAGAAACTCTAACCGGTTCTTTAGATGTCAAACCGGAGGAGATAACATTTTGATCCTAAACCACACACAAAACAAAACACATTAGTTTTTAGAAGATGAAAGTATAAGAAAGCGAAAGTAAATTAAAATCATCAAGAACCTTGTCAAGCGAAAACCGAGAATCTTTGATGTGAACATTGTTGAGGTGACGAGAATCCGAAAGATGCAAGAGCAGAAACAAGAGAAGAATCAAAGCAGCATGGGCTGAGCTCATTGGTCACAACCAGAAAACGGTCACAAGGCTTAACGATTATGAAACGTAAAAGGATTTAGTAGGTAATAGTCACTATATAATATGAGCAAGTTCACACATATATATTTGAAAATTTACACCGACAAAGCAAGAATAAAGAAGTGTTCTTATATTTATCAATCCATATGCATGTGTTGGAAAAACTCATGGGAATAGCCAAAGATGAGTCAAAAAGAGAGAATAAAAACAAAAGGAAAAGGACATTTAAACCTCGGTGAAAAACGAGTGGTTTACTATTTCTTGTCTCTCCACACTTCTCATTTGACCGTTCCTCCAAAACTTACCGACCAAAAAGTTAAAATACTCAAATAAGAAAATGCAAGCTACTTCCAAATTGCATTATTTTATCATATGTGATCAACTTAAAGCACTTTTTAAGACATTAATTTAATTACCGTAATGGTTTTTTTGTCTGCCTCGAGAATGGTTTGTAGGTTGACGATGACTATTGTCTGCCTCTTTTACGGATTTAAGTAACACCACTTTTTGAGCTTTAGACAAAATCCACAAGACATCTTGTCTTAAAAAAGCCCTCTTGAATTGCACAAATCCTGCTTGTTTCTAAACGAATAACACACGTTGGTACAAAGCAAAAGAGTTTTCAAGAACCAAGAACCCAACATTTGGACCAAGAATGTTCCCTGAGAATGTCTTTCCTCTGGTCCAAGTAGCCATGAAACCTGCGAATCCAAGCTGAATAAACGGGAATAGAGTAGATAGAGAGGACCAAGCTTTAAGGAAACAATTGAACAATTGATGATACCACAAAAAAATCTATTGGATCGATAACAATACATTCTGTAGTTATCTTTTTTTACACGTTCTTATACAAGTGGAGGTAGCATCAGTCCACAAGTGCATTCACATAGAGTGGTTACTATCTCTAGAGAATAGAGCCTTTGACGTTCGACTCCATAAGAATATCTAAAAAGTCCACCAAGGTTCAGCTAATATCAGAGCTTTAATTATCTCACAAGAGCTACTCTACAGCCTCTTGCAAAGTCTGTTGCAAGAATGCCTCCTATTTATAGCAGAACAACGCTTCTAAATGTGTTGTGGTGAGTAGAACTTAAAGACAATGAAGTGGTAGGGATCATTACTTTTAAGCAAACCATCATCACACGTGGAGAAGATTGTTCACTGTTACAGCAACAGGATTTGTTCTTTGCAGGTCTTGCAAGAAAATTGAGACGCAGAAGGTTTTAATATCAAGACAATAATACTGCAACTAAAACAATTTGGCAGCTCATAACATTCATCATTTAAATACACCACAAGTGAACAAGAAATGGCCATCAGTTCAGGCAAATTGAATCCATCAGTTTCTTGATGACAACTCTGATTCGAAGATACGTATATGCAAATGTTTTCCTTTCATTCGATACAGGAACATATGTTGACAAAGTCGATGCAAGATGCCTCATCATTATCTGAACCCGCCCCATTCCAACGGATCTGGAGCTTGTAGAAGGACCCGCAACATAAACACCCTGATCTGACCATGTGTGTAACCAGATTAGATCCAGTCTTGAGTTCCTATATGGCATGAGAAAAGGTGATCACAAGCTTGGTCCTCACTTGTTATCCAAAAGAACCAAGTATGACTTTTAAGACAAGGCATAGTATTTTAGCGTGAGGAACACGGAATCGCAGGAAAGTGGATGATATTGTTATGAAGAAAACTTCACGATGGAAAAATGAACCCAACCTCAAAGGATCACTTTCGATGGAATTTTGGCGTCTCGGTTAGTGCATGCGCAGGATTATTTTTTTTCTAACTGTTCATCGCTTGAGACTTCTCCTGTGGTAGGATTCGTCTCACTTTAAGTTCTACCAACACAAAGAGGCTTACGGCATGTAGGACAAGAGTAAACCGCATTTAAGCCTTGATCCAACCTGCCAGCATCAACATATAGTCAGAATAGCCTTAAGATTGTTCTCACACAAGTGTAATAGCCCCAGGATGGCAGCATAACAGAGCTAGCATACCATGATCGTAAGCATCCAAGATGAAAAAGGTGGTTGCAGTGAATTCTTTTAGCCTTAGCCATTGGTTCCTATCATTCGTAATGGAGCCAAGACTGGTGAGCTACTGAAGAATGCAAAGACACCAATAACTATTCTAACAGAACCATACCCGACATATAGCACATTCCTCATCAAATGCGCGTAGCTCTTCTGAAGTTGCATCTGGAAGAGCTGCATGAAGAGCACCTAAACCCACTCTCAGTTTAATGAACTCTTTAATTCGTTTCAAAATTTCTCCCTGTTAAATTGAAACGGGAAATACAGACTGATAGAATCCTCCCAAGGAATCGGCACTCTGAAGTTGGTAATGGATAAGCTTTGCTTCTAAGGAACCAAAAGGCTTCAAAGAACAAAGGATGTGGATTGAATGGTCACACAGGTAGCTGCGGAAAGGCTCCTGATTTACGGAAATGACTCTTTGGATATGACTCACCAAGACAAGCCAAGTTTGTGATCGTTTGGATATGACTCACCAAACAGATCGAGTTGTGATTGATGGATATGACTCACCAACAATCGAACCACGGATATGACTCACCGTGACATGATCAAAGGATAACCTCCAAATGATAAAAAATGTTTATAAGGAACAAAAGTGAGAATAACTCTCAAAGAAGAAGTTTGATAAAAAAGATAGTCTGCTTATTTCTCTTAGAGATTACATGATTATATAGAGTAGAAATGTGAAGAAAACAAGACAATCTCGAAATTATGACTTAGACTAAAATTAAAGACAAATATTAACTAATGGTTGAATGACTCTTGATATTCTTTGAATATCCCTTGAGTTTCTTGTCTCTTTAACTCCTTTGAACGAATTTTGATGATCAGAAACAAGAAGGGCTGAGTCATGTCTTCATATTGGTCTTAGTAGAAAAGCCTCCTGGATGCCAAACGTAAGCCTGCAAGCTCTCAAACCAATCAGGCCTAGAAATCATCAAGCATAGAACCATGTTGACCCATTTAGATAAATGAGGTGTATCTCTGAGACCCGATGGCAATTTCTTCTTATCTTGGGCTTGTTGAAACCAGAACAGATCCGTTAAGATTCTCCAATTGGTTTCATGTCGAGATCGTTTCTGAGTTGGGCTCTGGACCTCAATCTTTGGATCGGACGCGGAACTGGGTCTGAAGCAGATCCACTGTGTTGTAAAATCCATATCTTCCAAGTCTGAATTCTTTTTGAAGTGATTCCAACTCTCCATGCTTCTGTGAGGGATCAAGATTCCAGAACAAGTCGGATCATAAAATATTTCCTTCTGGATTGGTCGAAATCCTCCTTTGAATGCGCGTAGGTCCAAATTGAGTAACCTCGAGTTCACCTGATTTGAAAACTCAATAACTTCTTCATCTGAACTCGGATTGGACAGATTTTTCTTCGAGACGGGCTCCAGATGAGGTGAGAATGTAGTCCAAGTGGTCTTTGAGCTGCACGAGTTGAGCTTGGACCCCGTCAGTATAGAACAAGGCAGATATGTCGTTTTGAGCGTTTTCAGTATTCTATCATCCCCTCCCTCTTGAAAAAGTTTCGTCTTCGAAACTGTACAGCCTTCGGTTGGGAAGTGCTGACGTGAGAATGGTGGACTCTCCTTGATTAACATAGAATAGATTACTCCCTTCTGTTGATTCTGAAGGATAGTTGCACCGCTTTGAGTGAGATCTCCTAGTTTGCTTTTCGCTCCTTGGATTTCCAAAATCTGATCTGTTTTGCTTGGCCAGTAGTGAAGCTTCGGTTTCTCTCTGCTTGGCTTCATAACCTCAGCCAGCAATCTCTGAACTCTGTTTACTGGTTTTGAAAATGCTGAATCTCCAAAAACGAAATCCACTTCTTCCACCAATTTAAAATCAAGAGTATATGAATCATGCAAAGATAATGATGGATACCTCCTTGTAAGTACCTTAGCTGAATCATCTGTGCTACCAGATTCGCTTAAGATCAGAGTCACCTTCGTGGCTTCCTCATCCTCTAAATTAGGTATCAACTGGTCTTTGCAGATTTCCTGTTGCTCATGCTCCTTGGCGTTACTTTGCTCACTTACCAATAGTTCATCATCGGCTTCATCCTCTTCATATTCATCAAACACTGGTCCTGTGTCAGTCTCCTCTTCTTCATTGGTCATGATTTCGCCATTGTCTAGAGGAACCACGTTTTGCTTTCTAGGGCATTCATTTGCATAGTGTCCTCTCCCTTGGCACTTAAAACATTTCATATCACGATTAGTGGCCTCGGTTGAATTGATGTGCGGATCCTTGGATCTAGCTACTACAAAGCTCTGGTTGGATTTCTTTGCTTGGACCACCTTGTGTTGATTTTCTGAGTTAATGCACGCCTTAGAAAGATCCTTAAACCTTTCATAACTTGGTCTGGCATCAGATGATCTAGCTTCATAGCTTGGCTGAGAAGAACACCTTAGCTTCTGATTTAGAGAGAAGAACACCTCTCTCTCATAACTGCTTTCATCTCTGCCCAAGTCTCCACTGGATACTCTCCATTACGCCTCCTTTTGGTTTTCAATAGACACCACCAATAAAGTGCATGCTCACAAAATCCAGTAGCCGCAACTTGCACCTTGATGTACTCTGAAAGTGGATGGGATTTGAAAATATGTTCCATTCTTCTCTCCCACTTCAAGTACCTGTCTGGATCAAAAATTTTACCAATGAATGATGGATTTTCAAGATAGAGATCTCCGGGTTGTCATGATAATGATCTCGGACTCCTCTTTCACACCTATGCCTTCCTTTGTTTTTTTTGAGACAAATAACTATCACAGATGTGATATTTGTCTGCCTCTAGATCTCTAGGCTTCTTTGGTTGATCTCCCTCTTGTGTCCTCTTTTCAAAGACATCTGTTTTTCCTCTTTTTGGATCTTCTTTTTTCAATAGACCAAAAGACATTTTTTTTTTCCTATCTTTTCGTTTTTTTTTTCTCTTCTTTTTTTTTGAAATGACGAAAATAAAAAAAAATAGAAAAAAATAGAAATCAAAAGAAAAGAAGATGAAAAGGTAGAAGAAGAATGAAAGAAGATGAAAAGATGAGAAGATGAGAAGGTCAAAAGAGGAAATAAAAAAAAATGAGAAAAAGATAAAATACCAAACTAGAGAGTGTTGCTCTGATACCACTTGATAGAATCTCCCAAGGAATCGGCACTCTAAAGTTGGTAATGGATAAGCTTTGCTTCTAAGGAACCAAAAGGCTTCAAAGAACAAAGGATGTGGATTGAATGGTCACACAGGTAGCTGCGGAAAGGCTCTGATTTACCAAAATGACTCCTTGGATATGACTCACCAAGACAAGTCAAGTTTGTGATCGTCTGGATATGACTCACCAAACAGATCGACTTGTGATTGATGGATATGACTCACCAACAATCGAACCACGGATATGACTCACCGTGACATGATCAAAGGATAACCTTCAAATGATCAAAAAATGTTTATAAGGAAAAAGTGAGAATAACTCTCAAAGAAGAAGTTTGATAAAAAAGATAGTCTGCTTATTTCTCTTAGAGATTACATGATTATATAGAGTAGAAATGTGAAGAAAACAAGACAATCTCGAAATTATTACTTAGACTAAAAGTAAAGACAAATATTAACTATTGGTTGAATGACTCTTGATATTCTTTGAATATCTCTTGAGCTTCTTGTCTCTTTTAACTCCTTTGAACGAATTTTGATGATCAGAAACAAGATGGGCTGAGTCATGTCTTCATATTGGGCTTAGTAGAAAAGCCTCCTGGATGCCAAACATAAGCCTGCAAGCTCTCAAACCAATCAGGCCTAGAAATCATCAAGTATAGAACCATGTTGACCCATTTAGATAAATGAGGTGTATCTCTAAGACCCGATGGCAATTTCTTCTTATCTTGGGCTTGTTGGAACCAGAACAGATCCGTTAAGATTCTCCAATTGGTTTCATGTCGAGATCGCTTCTGAGTTGGGCTCTGGACCTCAATCTTTGGATCGGACGCGGAACTGGGTCTGAAGCAGATCCACTGTGTTGTAAAATCCATATCTTCCAAGTCTGAACTCTTTTTGAAGTGATTCCAACTCTCCATGCTCCTGTGAGGGATCAAGATTCCAGAACAAGTCGGATCATAAAATAGTTCCTTCTGGATTGGTCGAAATCCTCCTTTGAATGCGCGTAGGTCCAAATTGAGTAACCTCGAGTTCACCTGATTTGAAAACTCAATAACTTCTTCATCTGAACTCGGATTGGACTGATTTTTCGAGACGGGCTCCAGATGAGGTGAGAATGTAGTCCAAGTGGTCTTTGAGCTGCACGAGTTGAGCTTGGACCCCGTCAGTATAGAACAAGGCAGATATGTCGTTTTGAGCGTCTTCAGTATTCTATCACAGACAAAGAAATCAATATGTGCCTATTAAGCAATGATATGAACCTTATGAACCTTTGTTCATATAAGAAACAGATAGAAGATTTAGGCTAAGCTTCCTCTTTACCCTAGTCTCTCTTGGAGATTAAGGTTAATTATTGGAAGTTGTCTTCTCATTAATCTATAAAAGATCTATAGGCCTTGATACAACTTATATCATAACCCTAATGCAAACAAGAAAACACTCTATATAAAAACCTAATTCATAAAAGAAAACCGATAGAAATCATTAACTAAAACACCCTAGCCAATCCTAACCATCATTCATATCAAGCAACCAGTTGAGTGGCACTTTTACAAAGAATGTCGATTAAGAGACTTACACGTATGTTGAGAACCAAAAATACATCCATCAGAGAAAAGGCCATTCCATGAAGCAACCACATGTGCAAATAATGACCGAGTGCCATTAGCCATATCTAGGAAGAAGCCAAGATTCCGGTTGAGGATGCCTTTCCATTCCAATAATGAGCCTATCCAAAGGGTTTAGGGTTCAAGTCAGCAATGTGAACGTCACTTAGGCCAAAACTATCCAAAACATAATTTCAATCATATGCTGAGAGAAGACAAAACCTGCTGTCATAGAATCAAGAAACCGCGATCTTTGGCAGTCTAAATTTTTGACTGCTAAGTCATTGATCAACATATCCAGCAACTGAAACCCGTGAATCAATAACGCCTGCGATATGATCCATTATGTGATTGATCAATTCTCTGTTTACTTAGGATTCGTTGCACAGAAGGGCAAACGTAACAATGAATACAGCTAATCTTAATTAAGTACCTGCAAGGTCTCAAAAGCTACACTGCATGGCTCAAAAAGTAACAATATATACAAAGATGAACCAGTTGTATTGTACATCATTAGCGAAAGCTTTATCCTGCAAGATTGGCCAAAATTAACATGTTATTACTCAAAACATCCAGAGAACAACAACAAGTTCAGTATTCAATCACAAGAACAGAACATGAGACTCCAGAGGTCTGGTGTATGAATAAAAAATATCCCTGTTTTATCTTAGTTGAACTGCAGTCTAATCAAACATGTGGGAACTCCAGATACAATATCTTCACCGCTCAATATAATGGTGCCCAACATATGAGCCCTCCAAGCATACTAAAGCTTCTGCTTCGTATTAGAGCAGAAAGTTACACTACTTTCATTAGATTAGTCATGTGCAGACCATTCATAGACTCATGTCAATTTGTTCTACCTCCTTTGAAATACAACAGCACCTAAACTTTATTTACGAAAATATGTCGATTCCAGAGATAGAAACTAGGAGGACAGCATTTACATTCTCATTTGAATAAATGGGTTGAAAAAGCCACAAATGAACATTTTTAACATTATACAAAAAAGTTTAGGAATTACCATAACAAATCAACAGAGAGAACCATGAACAGTGCTGAATACACACGAAAGTATGTCCAAGGTGTAGAAGAAGGAGATGCACTCAATCTTTCAAGCCGTTCTCTAGCCAAAGCTAGAAACATCTACACAGCATTTCCACAGTTAGAGTGTCTAGAAAAGAAGTTGAGCACTTCTGAATCATAAGTTAAGAAAACCAAAATTTCATGCTATCTGTATGCCATACCTTTAGAGTACACAGAACAATCAACCAGATTGTCCATAGGATCCCCTGAAATGCATTTTGCAGAACCACTAATGGCAAAAAAGTTCCCTAAAAACAGGAGTAACCAAATGTGGTTATTTATAAACATAAAAAGGCACACATCTTCTGATGACTCAAATTACAGTCAACAGAATAGATATGCCAACCGAAGAGGGTAAAAAGTGGTAGAGATATTTTAACCCTTAGTGCTTGTCATTTTTTTTCTTTCGTTTGCAGCAATTAAGATATTCAGTAAAGGAAACAACAAAATATATCCCAGATAATATAACTATATAAGTGACAGTGTATTACGTCAAAAAAGAAACAACTACCTTGTAAATGATGTAATTGGCGAGTCTTTCCACCAGCTTTTTAGTTTCAACAGCATATAGGTCTCCAAAAAACAGAGTCTGCAAAGAATTTCAAGAGCTATTAAATGCCCACAAAATGGTTGAAAGACATTTCACAAAACAGCTAGTCAATTTATTCTACAGATATGTGCAGATCTCACTGAGGCAACAAATAGCATGGAGCTGTATCTACTTGAGATTTTTCATTTCATAGCAACCATTTAACTAGCAAAAAATAAATAAAAAACTAACTCCTTCAGATCAGAAACAATTGCTTCTTACACCACAAGTCTTTCCTCGGAGGTGCAAACTATTTTTCTAGTTTCTACTAGCCAAAATAAGAGCTGGTAGATTGAAATTCATTCAAAGAAAAGAACCCATTAGCTATAAGACGCTTGAGGTATCTATCAACTACGTAAGATAGAAAGCAAACTCATTAATTAAGGGGAAGCCCACATTGAATCACTTAAACTACTGAAAAGTTAGAAGGTCTCTCTTACCTTGAGATTAAGAACCAGAAGAATGTAGAGATTGAGCACAAAACTCGCCAGCAAGGCAATTGTAGTGCGAGAAGACAGAAACAGCTGAAGGGCATCCTGAGAATCACCTAAAGAAATGTTCTTGGTGATTATCCCATCAGCTCTAAGCCTATCCTTACACAAATCCGTCCAGACTATTAAGCCAACGAAGCCCAAAGCTGATGTTGCCAAGGAAATGAGCAGGTATCTTATCCCCATTAGGAACTATCTTTCTCACTCAGCTAGACTTTTCCACCTGCATAAACATGAATTTTTAAGGCTAAGCAACCAAAATTCTACAGTGTGGCCAAACAATGAACCTTGGATTGAGATCTTTCAAAAAAATCTTTAAGTAAGCTCGAGAATCGAGTTTAAACAACCGTTGAGCGAACGTGGTATGAGAGATACATACACATGCTCTAGCAATTGAGATACATAAAATAACAAAATCACTTAAATCGAAGAAACTCGGAATCCAATTAACCAAAGGAGAGAGATGAGCTGAAACAAGGGAAGAGTCAACGATTCAAATCGAGGTCGATAAGCAGCGGAGAGAAAGGTAATGATGGAATCTGCAGAGAGTGAAATCGATGAAACAAAAGGAGAACCTGATCCCGCGAAGGATGTGATCATCAATTGGAAATTCTCTACGGCACCGGCAATTGCGTCGTCCTCTTCTGTATCTTTCTCTCGACGGAGAACGGGAAAAAGTAATAAAAAAAGAGAACGGAAACAGTAAAAGAGTCAATGAAGAATTACTTCTAAATAAATTGAAGAAAATAAAATTAATAAAAACAAAAAAAAACTACCATTGAAGAATAGAAAACTAATTATTTCAAATTAATTATTTTTAATCCAGAATTATGCTCTTATCTGATTTTAATTAATCAATTTTATAGAAATTTCACACATTTAAAAAAAAATCCAGTTTTAACAGATTTTAATCTTTTTTTTTGTCAAACAACAGATTTTAATCTAAATTTTAATTTGAGTGCAACATTTTAACATTTTAACATAAAGTGAATCGGAAGGAATATCAAATTAGAGGCCATCGGATTTGAACATTTTACGATGGTGATAAGTTAAAAAAAAAACAAAAAACAAAGTAGCTTAAATTTTAACGATATGGCGATATTTACCGGTAAAATATCGATATCTATGAGTTTGTTATGTAAAATTAAAATTTGTAGTAATACCAAATTATATATAAAACTTATATGTAGAATTCAGGTTGTAGTAAACACCAAATTATCTGTATAACCCATATCCAAAATTTTCATTATCTAGTATCCAAATTTGTTCTATTCGGTTATTTCACAAAATTCGATTCGGTTCGGATCGGATTTAGCAAATAAAAACCGAAATAAACCAAAACAATTTGAAATCGGATAAATCGGGTTAGTTAAATCCGAAAAAAATTCTACAAAAACCGAAATTGCAATAACAAATAAAACTAAACAAAAATAGCAAAAAAATGGATCAAACGTAACAATGCCTCACAATATTCAAACTCCAACCATCTTAGTTCATACTAAAAGATCAAACTCCAAACCATCTTAGTTCATACTTAGTTTAAAAATAAAAATCCAAACCATCAAAGTCCAAACCATCTTAGTTCATACTAAAATGTCAAAATGACAAAGAGAATAAGCAGGAACTAAGATAGTGCATAACTCCAGCCTCCAAAAAGTGTGAACTTCATAGCAAATCAAAGATGCATCTGAAACGACAAAACCGATCTCTAAATAAAATTAGAAACCAATACAAATGATATAACAAAACAAAACCAAATTCAATATTTTGATACTACTTACCCATTGTCGATTGTTGAAGTCATTAATAGGGTGAGATTCAATCTTCCACACTTATTGGATCATCAAACTCTAAACAAAGAATTAAGAGAAGTTAAAGTTGGAACAAGTGAAATGATATAAAAATATAAATAAACAAGCCAAAACCATAACATACCTCTCATAAGGTTGTCCAAAAATTCATATTCAGAAGCGATTTGCTCCATTGTAACCAAGCCACTTTCACTTTTACACCGAATTTCCTCCTTCATCCATTGCTCCGTACACATCAGCACCTCCACCATATAATGAGTAAGACAGCTTCGAGCTGGAGTTATGATGTGTCCACAAGTGCTAAAAGCACTCTCAGATGCCACAGAGGAGACCTGCATTGCCAAAACATCCTTTGCCATTTGGGAAAGTATAGGAAACCTGGAACAGTTTGTTCTCCACCAGTCAAGCACGTCATACTCAACACCAGGTAATGTGTTCGCGACCTCAACACCTGATGTCGTGTCAACTGCGTGAGGGAACAAGTTTTACCCTTAACAAAACAAATGAAAGCCGCAAATGCACAGCTGATCAGTTGTAGTATTTAGGGATCGAATCCACAGAGATTTGTGTGTCTGGTATTCTTCTACAGTTTTTAACTTTATGTCTAGACTAAATTGGTTTTAAAGGTTGGTTGTTTTTCTTGCGAATTAAACTAAAGCAAAAGAAAGCAAATAAATCTATCCTAAAAAGCAAGTAAAGAAAATCGAATGAAATGCAAATGGAATAAGTAAAATATCGAACTAAACAAAAATAAGGCAAGTAAAATATCGCATGAAAAGTAAATAAAGCAAGTAAATAACGAACTAAGGAAATTGAAATGCAGGTCTAAGAAAGCAAGTAAAAATCGATGGAATTGTAAACTATGGCTAAAAACGCTGAGCTTTTGGGAACTCTAAGGGATCATAATCGGTTTTAACACTAAGGTAGATAGATTGGGATTGACGGATAACAATATATGGGTTCTAGAGCTAGAGTACGGCGATATGACTACGTCACTGTCGTGATCATAACCAAAACTGTTTCTCGCAACCCTAACCAGTAGGTTTCCACTCTAGCCCTAGAAGGGAGAGAACGCAAGAGCTGCACAAGACTCGTCAATACTCACGATCTCGCCGCAGGTAGGTTTCCACTCCTACGGAAAAATCGCCTGTTTCATTCTAAGGCTGATACTTAATGAAAACTTTCGCAACACTAACTATCTAGATCAGATACTAGGTGATCAATCAAGCATACATGCAATAAGAACAAGAATAAACAGAGAACAGGTCGAAATCCCAGATCTATAAACCTAGATGTCTTAATCGATTATGAGAGCCCCTTTCGGGAACCCTAAGCCCAACTCGGGATCTACTCAGACATGGCTGAGTTCGACATCATCATTGGTTTTAATAAAAGTAATGAAAAATAGTAAAAAAAAGAGATAAAGAAAGCTTCTCTATTGAAGAACTCGGACTTGAACAATCTTCTACAAAAATCTCATAAAAACGGCTAAAGGAAAAAAGTTTCTGTAAAGTATGAAAATCTCTCCCTAAAAACGACCTAAATGACATGTATTTATAGTCTCCAATACTCCATGGTCTCTAGGGTTCCAGAATTAAGGCTGGGAATGACTTTGGGCTTCAGATAAGTGGGCTTTAAGTCGGAGCTTGAATGTCGCGGTCGGGAGTGTTGTGACCGCGGCAATTGGCTTGTTGGCCGCGGTCGGGAGGCTTCTGACCACGGCAAATAGCTTGTTGGCCGCGGTCGCGTGAGTTGCTGGCCGACTCCACGTGGCTCCGGGGCTAATGGAATATCTTGAGATCCAACCGTTGGAATGTCTCCAAACCAAGTGCATTTGAAAGCTGGTTGATTCTTCTATAAGTTGTCTAATTTTGAGGGTGATCAAACGGTGATAAGGTCTTCGTCTCTCCATGAGAGTTCTGACGGTCTGCATTTATCCAAAAGAGTCTTTTTGTTCCATTTTGTGCATCTTTATCCCAAATTACCTGAAAAGTCTTTTAAAATCCGGAAACATAGAAATCCTTTGAAAACCTTTGAAAATGAAGTAAAAACACCTGTAAAAGATATTAAAATGATCCATAAAAATGGCCAAAATCCGGTGTTATCAACACCCTCCTTAAGATATTTATCTAACTCGTCCCTTGTATCATTGACTCTTGTTTCTGCAACCTTTGCTTTGTAGATAGAATCCATCCTCTCATATCCCAACCCCAAATCATCATCTATCACTTCCTCTCTTAAACCTTGTGAATGCTCTGATGATTGTGCCTGATTAGACTGTGAGGACTGCGAGTTTGGAGTTGAAGAGAATCTAGAGTACTCATCAAACAGTGCTCGCAGAACCACTAGGACTGAGGCATTGAGTTCTTGTGCGTCTTTGCTGTTCTCACCATATAGCCTCGCAAAACACATGTTACTTAAATCCATTTTTTTTCTAGGATCCAATACTGATGCTATGATTAGCATTTTGTTTAAACCCTTCATCCCATCCCAATACTTGTCGAACTTGAGCAGCATTGCGTCAGCCTTTGTTCTTATTTCTGCGTCTGCACTTGTGGTAAGGTTCATCAAGGTTTTCTCGATGGTGACTATTTCCCCATAGCATTTGTAAGAGTTCAGAGTGGTTGAAGCTGATACCTGAAGAGTAGACTCATAGAAGACGACTAAAAAACGGTTCAACCTCTCAACATTATCCCAGTCAATTACAGAAGGAGGTCCAACTATTACTTTCCCATCTTCTAACTCAGTAAAATGATCAAGATACAGCTTATCCTCTCTGGCAATCCTGTCAAATGCATGTCTGTACTTCGACGCCTTATGCAACATCGTGTAAGTAGAATTCCACCTTGTTTTAACATCCAATGGCAAACTACCCCTTTTCAGCTTTCCAGAGTCTACTCTTAGTTCAAATGAACTCTGCCTAGTTGTTTTTGATCTAACATAACAGATAGTATTGCGAATTGCATTAACACTTGACTCTATTTTTTTCAAACCATCTTGCACAATCAAATTAATGATATGAGCACAACACCTTACGTGGAAATAATCACCACCGAGCACAAATGCTTCCAGATTTCTTAACCCAAATTCCCTATGAAATCTACTTATAGCAGAACCGTTCGCTGTTGCATTGTCAACAGTGATGCTAAACACCTTATCTATTCCCCATTCAGCAAGACAGTCCAAGAGAACAGTTGATATAGTCTTACCTTTGTGATCAGTGACATGTTTAAAGCCGATGATGTACTTCTTTAGCCTCCAAAACATGTCCACAAAGTGAATAGTTATCACCATATAACTAGCCCCTGTTAAATAAAGAAAAAATAAAGAAACCAGAGTTAACAAATAAAAAACGAACATACAAATAGAGTGGTAAAAATCCTAAACAAACACTAAAAGAAAAGAAACCAGACATCCATACCTGTAGGCTGAGCAACCCATATGCCAGTTGTTAGAGACACACGATGCTTGTTGGCTCTAATGACATCCCTCAATGCTTTTTTCTTAGCCACTTACATCCCGCAAATGTTTCTGGTAGCAGTCCTCCGAGAGTGAGGGTCGTATAGCCTGCATTTATCGCAGAAATGCTTCCAAGCTATGCTATCCACAAAGCTAAGTGGCAGCTCCGCAAGAACAATCATCTCATCTGTTGCTTCCCTAAAAACTTTCTCGGACACTTTTGCTACACCCAGGCCACCACCCTGATTCAGTACACTCTGAGTCTTGCCATTGCTTTGTTGTTGACCCTCTCTCCATGCGAGGAAATGCTTGCATATTCCAAGATGGTTCCTCAAATTTGTGGTCCCTGATGTTGTTGGACACCTATATATACAACCGCCGACAGTAGTTGCATATGCACCTGTCTCTGTCTTCTTTGGTCCTCGTGTAATGCTTCCATACATATCAAGAAGCTTCATCAGCTTTGGTTGCTGAGAAGCAGAGCCTTCACCGGTTTGTTTTCTTTTTCCTCGACTCGCAGGTGTTTCAATATCATCATCATCAAGATCTTCATAAGGAACGTGAGTGTTTGCTGCATCTGTGTTCGTAGGGGTTGGTTCTGATGATGAATCCATCTACAAATACAAAGCAGAGTTTAGGTGAGACACAAGAGTTCAAGATAACTTTGCAAACAAATCGTGTGACTTAACCACAGCAATGCTTTGATCAAAGTGTATGAAGAAGACAAGACAGCGACATGGTTTTTTAGCTTCACAAGAATCTCAAATAAGAAGAAAGAGATGGAGAGAAATCTAAACCATGTCGAAGCTAAACCCAAAATATTATAGAGAAATTCCAAAGAGATGGAGAGAAATCTAAACCCAAAATCAAAACTATAAACTCTCCCTACATCTAACATCCAAATCGAAGCTATAAACAACCAAAATCGAAACTAAAAGCTATGAAAAAACGAAATATAAATCAGAAAAAACCCTAAATCGAAAAACAAATATGAAATCGACAACCTGTTTACAAGTAAAATCGACAAAAAAAAGGAATAGAGTTCTTATCTGAGATCGAATTTTCGATGACTCAGAGATTGGAGAGAAAGGGTTTTTGAAATTAGATGAATCCAGGTTGATTTTTGAGGATTTTTTGCCCTAAATCAACTTTGAGATTGGGGAAAGTTGTCGTGAAAGAGGAGAAGAGGAGACGCTCTAAATGAAAAAATAGGTTTTGTTTTATGTCGGGTTTAATTCGGTTATCATCAATTAATCCGAATCAAACCGATAAACCGAAGTAATTCAACATCAATAACCATTCAGTTTTTTTTTTCTCAACCCAAACCCGAGCCGAATCAGAATCAGAATTTTCGGGTCGGTTTCGGATTAATTTTTTCGGGTGCGGGTTTTATGCCCAGGGCTAGCTGAGATATTCATATTTGGAATCTGATTTCCCAAAAAAATTTTGAAACTATTTTCAACCCTGAAGATGTAAACGAAAGAGCTCCGTGAAAACAAAAAACAAAAAACAAAAACCAAAAACTCACTCATCATATACTTGTCTCATCATCCAAAAGAAACACCACACACACACACAGAGAGCAGCAAATTACTCCTAATCGACATGAATGTGGCGAACATTGTTACGCTCTTCCTCTTTCATCTTAGGCACCACAACTTTCAACACTCCGTTTTTCATCTCCGCTTTGATCTCATCCGTCTTGTACACTTTCTCCGGTAACCCAATCCTGCTCGTAAACCTCCGTCCATCGCCGGAAACATCTTCATCCTCCTCCTTCTCCTCTGTTTTCCCTTCTCCTTTGATCACAAGCGTGTTCTGTTCCAGAGACAGTTTCACATCTTCTCTGCTAAGCCCTGGCATATCGATCCTCAGGTACAACGCGTCGTCTTTCTCTTTCACGTCCCAGCCACGTCTCACTCCCGAAGCTCCCATCCCACGCGTCGCTGACACCAGAGGGCTTTCGCCGATTTGATCCATGAAATTCAGCACCTGGCTCAAGCTCCTCGTTGGTGTAAACGGATCGAAGATGATGTCTGTCACACAAATTGAAAAACCACACACAATCAGATCTGAAACAAGCATCGATTTAGATCAACTAATTTGTTTTTCAATCGTCGAATTGAAGCTAAACTTCGATTGAATCGAAGGAATCGTGGATGAGATAGTTTAGAAGACGATTTATACCTGAGAAGAAATCGCCGCCGCGACGAGAAACCGGTCGGTTCGAGCGATGGCTGCTCCGATCGACGACGTCATCGCCGTCTTCATAGCTTCTAACGGCGTTGGTATTGAAGAGGCGAGACGCAGCCGCTGGACGAACGGCACGAGGGACGACGGTGGAGGAGAGAAGCCTCCTGAGAGCTAGAGATGATGATGACGCCATTTTCGCAAAAGAGAAGAAGCTTCTGTGATTAAATCAAAGTGAGAACACCACAAAAACTCGATCAGATATTTTTTTAGAGCGAGAAAAAAAAAGTGGTTAGAGAGAGAGAGGATTATATAGCAAGGAGAAGAAGCTACTGGAGAGAAAATGGTCGTTAACTACACTGCTTAAGGATGGTTCTAGAAGTACATGGTTCCCAAGTAAAGGAAGAAAACTATGATTCTTCTCTACACGGCCCATAAATTTTGGGCCTAGATTTGTGAATTGAAGTTTCTCTTCGGTTCGGTTTCCTAAAACTATTGACGTCTTAATTAATATCCTATCTCTATTTTCTTTTTTCTCTCTTATAAACAAAAGTAAAAAAACATTTTATGTAAAAAAAATTCACGCCAATCAGAAACCAATTAACCATCTCTTAAAAAAATAGAGGCTCTAAAAATTGCCAACCAAAAACCAATTAAACACCTCTTAAGAAAATGGAAACCCTAAAAAATTTACATATTTTGAGGACTTGAGGCGAAAGCCTTTTTCACTACATGGTAAGCATGGCTCTGTTGATGGTTACTGGTATATGGAGGTGAGAAAAATGAATTTCTTCAATGCAAGAAGCCATTTTGGAAACTTAAATGCATATTTTGATTTTACACCAAATACATACGGCCATGAGAAAGAAGGTGAGAATTTGTAGACATATTTCAATTAATTAAACCAGTTTTGGTTTAAGGTGAGAGATAGGTTGCAGGTGTTGTTAATTGCATATATAATGATTATTTATTTGTTGTATCACCCAACAAATATGAGATGAAGTAACGGGAAAACGGCCGATATCCACAAAAAAGTTTTTGAAGGTTGAAAGATTTGAATCCTGCACCACTCATATTAAACCCGAGCTCAGAACCAATAGACCAATTGTACTAATTGGTAATCTATCGAACTCCTATAAAATATATACAATCAATGAGCGTTTATTAAAACAGAAACCAAAACGATGTTGTATTGGTTAAGTCATTGGTTTTTAGAAAATCCGATCCTAAGTATTCTAAACTAAAGAATTTGTTTCCCTCAATTCGAAGGAGATTTCTGACAACAATGCAGTTCTGGATGATTTTGGAGAAAATTGGTTTATCGAGAATAATTTGAAAGCAATTCCGAATTTAGGTTTCGAAAATCAACTTCTGGGGTCTCAAGTTGAGAGTTCTTCTTCAAAACCCTAGTTGAAAGTTCTTCCCCAAAATTGAACACAAAACTCGATGAAGAAGAAAACTGATTCTGCTTAAAACTTATTAATAACCAATACGACGTCGTATTAGCTTGTTTTTAAGGGTTGTGTGATTTTTTTATATAACTTAAGTGCGGGATAGATTACCAATTACTACATGGTCTACTAGTTTTGGGCTTGGGTTTAATGTGAGTGGAGCAGGGTTCGAATCCTTCAGCCTTCAAAATTTTTTTCCCCAAAATTATGCAAAACGATGTCGTATGGTGTTATTGTTCCAACAGAGATTCCAGCGTGGCAGGTGAGTCAGCCCCGTTAACAATTTAACGGGGTTGATGCACGAATTAGCCAAAAAAATCTAGTTTAGATATGAAATTTCACATTTTAGTTTAGATACGTGTGGACACAGCAACAAAGTACAGGTACTAAATAATACTAATTCACGCAGTTGAGGCACGTATCAACCGCTTTCCCGATGAAGTAACAAATTGTGCAAGATTTTTACTATTCTTGATTTTGTTTGGCGTTTCCTTCTTTTTTGGTACCGAATTAAAACCCGGTGGTATGTTCGCGAGTTTTAAAATTACTATTATTTTTTTTTTCAAATATATTGTACATATTAAATATTTTCTTAATATACATATTTTAATTGAAAACTGAAAATTTGGGTTTTACAAAATTAGCTTTCTGCTAAATTTTGTTGACGTTGTTTACAAAGATATTATTGCCTGATGTTGATGATGAGACTCTATAAGCTCCAAAAGTGTACATTAGTGCCTTGCTGTATCTTGAAAACGAAATATCATAGCTTTCATTATTCAAAAGATTTCTAATATGTCTTACAAATATATTTTTTGTTTTGTTCTCTAATTTGAGAAAGGAGAAAGAAGAAGTAGAGTCACGACAAATACTTAAAGAGAGAATTCTTTTGTTTTTTTTTCTAATTTGAGAAAGGAGGAAGAAGAAGTCGAGACACACCTAAAGAGATAAACCATGAGTGGTTGATAGATCAGCAATGGTGGTAGGGGAGAAGGTAAGAAACACAAAAACACTTAGATCCTGAAGTGGTGTAACGCAGGAGCACTGATCGTTTTTGACCTGAAGATGTCTGCGAACTCGTCGATGGTTAAGTCCCTATACTTGGCAGGGTTTTCATCGGAAAGAAGCTCTTTGATGGGTCCTATTACACAAGGATTCGGCTTCATGAACGAGCTGAAGAAACATGGCACTGAGATCCGAGGCTCAGAAGCTCCATTCGCAATCACTCTATGCTCCGCGCTAAAGAACTTGTCATTGGTTATAAGCTACACACACAACATACATAAACAAAAGGATCAAAACCATATTTCCATGGATAGATGAAATGAAGCTAGCACTCAATGTTAACCTGGAGGAGATCTCCAATGTTAATGACAAGAGCTCCAGGGACAGTAGGAACATCAATCCAGGTTTGGTCATGGAGAACTTGAAGAGCTGCGATATTGTCTTGAAGAAGGACAGTGAGAAATGAAAAATCGGTGTGCTTGCTTAAGCCTAAAGTTAGGTCAGGCTGAGGGCAAGGTGGGTAGTATTGTCCAAACATCACTTGATACTTGGAGCAGCTCATGTCCTTGAGGTGATTAGGGTTTAACCCCAAAGCCTCTGATAGAAGCTCAAAGAGCAATTCACCTAGATTCATCATTTGCTTTGAGAACTCAATCATTATCTCCCTGCCACAAATGCAGAGTTATCTTTAGCTTCAACTTAATCTCTACTAAAAAAAAAGCACAAAGAGTTATAAAACCAGCTTCATTTACCCACAAACCGAGGGCAAGTTCTCTAGGCTAGGAGTGTTAGGGGCCGTATAACAACCCATAGTGTCTCGCCAACTAGCTCCCTGAATACTGTAGAGATCGAAGTTACTTGCGTAGTAAAGGTCGCTGGTGAAGTCACGAGAGTAAAAGCGTTTCTTGGTTTCAGTGGGCTGCTCATGAAACCGACGAGTTCCTTCGATCATCTTCTCCAACACCTCGAGAGGGATCCCGTGATTGGTCACCTGGAAGAAACCCCATTTCTCAGCTGCTTCTCCGATCTTCTCCACCACGCTACGCCGCAAGTCTTGATGATTCTTGCGGTTCACGTTTCCTCCGTTTAGATCGACGGAGGGGATCTTGAAGTTCGAAGGTGGTGGTCTTAGGTTTTCTAAAGCAGAGAGAGGTGCACGGAACATCGCCGGAAGCTCTTTGATTCCAGAATCCGCAAGTCCTTTCACGCCGGATTTCGACTCATCGAAAGCCTTTGCTTGAGTGGAAAGATCTGTTGCCTCCATAATCATTTTGTTGGTGTTGTTGTGTTTTTTTTCTCTCTTTCTTTCTTTCTTTTTCTTGCTTATTTCTTTTGCTGATGCTCGCTCAGGTTTGCATGTGAGAGTGTCAGCAATGTGTGTACTTATATGCACCACTCAGCATCTTAATAATTCACATGTTTTATGCACACATGATTTTCCTGCTTAATAGGGTTTTATAAGGGCCCATGCATACCAGTCTATAGGTGGGCGTGTAAGTACGAACGGTGTTAGAATTTTTGTTGATATAAAAAATTTGGATTCTGATTGGTCTCTTTTGATTCTTGATCATCCTTCTAAATAATACACTATTTGTAACATACTCCCTCTCTCTGTTTTTTTTTTTTTTTAATATAGTGTGTTTTAGAATTTTTAGTTTATTTTATATATATAAGGTGTCTTCATAATGCAAAATTTTTAAGTTTTTTTTTTTTTTGGTCGAATGCAAAATTTTAAGTTTATTCAATAATTTTTGACCATTTATATTGTAGTCTCGTTGAGATTAACCAAATCGCATGAGAGTACATTTGTCATTTCCGGCTAGATTAATAACGATAATTAGCCATATAAATTAAAATTAATATTTTCTCTGCGTTTATATATAGACTCGAGTCACTCGACACGGACGAACTACGACAACGAAGAGGAGGCTGAAATTAACGTCGAAAACGATATATTGTATCTTGCTACTTTTTTTTTTCAAAAATATATATTATTTAAAATCTAAATAAATAGCAAGCTATGAATCGCTTTCTTGGTTAGTTCATGACAAATTACAATACCACATCCATTCCAATAATCGATGTATCTTGCTATAATACATAACTATAACGGTGTAAGTATATCCCAAAATGAACAAAAGTTTGAAGAATTTCTAATTTCACATTTTGTAGGCTGTAACAAATTGGGTTAAGTTTTTTCTATTAAGTTTGTGTGGCCACAGTTACTGGTTAATTTCTCAGTGAGAACTCGACAAATGTGATTCCTAGTGGGAACAATATTCACATGTGGAGACGTGGGACCCATATAATCGCCACAGAAGGCAACAAATTGATGACGTAGAAATGGATGGCCTGGTCACGCGTGGGTGTGGGAAAAAAGCTTTACGTTTCAGATGTCATATGTATCTTCCGGTCAGTCTGCTTCCGGTACCGGAAAGTGTATGTTAACTGTTCATTATTATTAAATTAAGTGAGAATACATCAAACTGTTCTCCTAACCATAGTTTATTGCAAAAGATCCTCCAATAAATCTACATTACTAAACTAACCTTATTAAATTTATCAATATCTATTTTATCCAAATGTTGTATATTATTACGAAATTATCATTATTATTATTTAATTATTAAATAAAAAATTGTTGAAAAAAGCTATCTATATACTTATTTGTGTAGTGATTTGCTTACATGTCGCGTTCACATCGAATTTAACAGTCTTTCGCTTACGTGTCTTCTCCAGAGAAAGTTTCGGCTGCAAAAAGATCGATTAACCTTAGTTCGTAATTACATGTCATTTTTTATTGGTTCTTATGTTATGATGTTTAAAAAAACTTAAAACAAACCAGTCTAAATTATTGTGGTTTAATCTTTAATTTCATAGTCAATCAAACCGTTTTAAAAATTATATAAAACCAAAATTTAGAATTTTTTTTAAACGTTTTTTTTTGAAGAAAAAACAAAAAATGGAATCTATATCTCTTATGGAATGGTGAATAAAGCCCAAAGCACTTAAAACAAACCGGTCTAAATTATTATGCAATTTAGGTTTGTTGATTTAGGGTTTGTTGCTAAGAGAATGAAGCTAGATAAGAAAAGTGGCACTCAAATATTGCAACGATTAAAAATCTGGGTAAGGAGGAAGAAGAAAAAGATCTAGATCTAGAGTTTTTATCGCTAAAAGTGAGAGAGAGATATTTTTTCTCAATTTTTTAAAATTTTTTTTATCAAATCAGATTTATCAGTTTTTAATAAAAAACTAGTTAACTTTTCTGCGCCTTGCGCGGACTGATATAATTTTCTATTTGGTTGTTTGGAAATCTAATAGTAGTTTGGATTCATTTATTTTTTTATTCTCTATTGTTGAGTATATTTTTTTTGCAAAAATATTGTTGAATATATTTGTTTGTTAGATTTTCTTGCATTTTAATGTTTGAAAACATGATCATGAAAACAATAAAAAATAGAGTAATTAAAAACATATTAGTATCCAAATAATTTAGTTCAAATAGTTTTGAGATTTTTTAATCATTGTTCTATGTATTTTAGACGTAGTTTTTCTAAGTACCGTACGAGCTTATTCGATTTTTCTATTATTTTAGACATAGTTTTTCTAAAACAATCACATTCATCACAATCACCTGCAAAAATGATTTAAAGAAAGGGGTGAGTAATTGGGGAATTACTCAGTGAAAACCAGACTAGACTCCTTTCTCACTCATTCATTTTCTACCAACATATCAAGAATAAATCCAATAAGAAAAACACAAGCACTCTAGCAGCGCCCAATCAACATAAAAGTAATGAGAAGTCTCCATCCCGCCTACCAACCTAGGCCAAACCACCCAGTCACTTAGACATGGGTCGACAACTCCCTGTCACACAGACAGTCAAACCGGCGGTCACACAGACAGGCCCCGTGGATCGTCACTCCATCAGAAGAATGAATTACTCCCACGGTCACATAGATACAGAGCCGTGCCTGGACACATGCTGATGAAGCATGTGCTTCAGGGCCGGTGACATTGAATATTTTTTTGGAGCTAATTTTTCATAAATTACGTTAGCACAGTTGGTCTTGGTGTGTGCACGCTTGACTCTTCTTGCGCAGGTTCGATGCTTGATAAGTTGCGCGAGGGAGATAAAATTTTTCTTTTAAAAAT